TTTTCCACTGTGTTAAAGTCAGAAGATAAAGCTGTGGTTGTCTGCTCAAGCCTGCAGCTGCCAGCCTTAAGAATACTTCAGATACTGTACTGCATGTGGGGGGTTGGTGTGTGTGTGTGTGTGTGTGTGTGTGTGTGTGTGTGTGTGTGTGTGTGTGTGTGGCGAGGGGGGGGCTCCTTAGGACAGCACTTGATCAGACACACAGAAGAGCCTTGCCGAGTGAATGGACAAGGGGGAAGAGAAGGGCCTCTTTTCCCCAACTGAATCCATTAAAGAACAACAGCCAGCCCGTCCTGCTGAAGGATTAGCTCCCTGTCCATGCTGTAAGTCAACCAATAATAAGACAGATTACAAGTGTTTGCCTCTGTTAGGCGGTTGCTATAGTTGTGCACGCACAAGCGGACTAACCTTAATCATGTGTTAGTCCAAACAGGCAGCTAAGCAGGGGAATTGGATCTCTGGAGCGATCATAAGATTTCAGCATGGATTAACCTTCATCTTAATGTTTTCAGTTGTTAGATTGGACAGGAAAGGTTGGACATTGAATGTGAGCCTCTCTGTCCGCTGCCTTTAGGGTGTCCAATAACAGTGTTCCAAAGATGACAGTCTGTGGAGTCTAAATATATTTAGCTGTTCACCTCAAACTCACTTTACATGGAAAGTGTCTGAGCAAGAAGTCCAAATCTGAACCCTCACCTTACAGAGAGCAACAAATCTGGTAGAAATTTAGCCAAGAGTACAAGAAGTAAAATCCTTTAACTGCATATAAACCAGGATCAAAACCACCCATTGTAAGAAAAAAAATTCTGCTATGTTTGAATTTAAAAACAGAGCTTTTCCTATTTCTAATGCGCTGTTGTGACGATGCTATCCTCTACTTCCTGAACAGTCCAACAACTGCTTTGAAATGTAAATGTGTCAGTTCTCAGACAGGGAGTTGACCTAAATATTCTACCCTATATAGCCCTGAGCAAACGCACAGGAACATTTTCATAGTGCCAACATTATCTATTGGCTATTATGGGAATATCAGAAACTCTGCTGTGTCACCCCCAACATTCACCAGATTTTAAATTGAGCTTTACCACTAACTTTATTTCTTTTTATAATACATAATAAAAAAAAATTTAAATCGGTGTGTATCTGTTCGGAAGGAAAGGGTACTTTATATAACTGCGGATGGGACTTCCCAAAATATAAAAAAAATATAAAAAAGAAATTGTTCTGACTTTATCTAAAATCAAGTCAACTTTAAGTGATTTTGGACTCCTGCAAGCATATGTGGATAAAGGAGGTTGCGTCTTGTATTATGTTGGAAAGACTAATTTATATAACCAGGGGAAGGGCTGCAGAGTTTGAGTTTGAGACTGTATAGAATCCTTTAATAGAGTTTCTTAAATAAATAAATATATATATATATGTATATACACTACCGTTCAAAAGTTTGGGGTCACAT